ATAACAGAGTAGATTTAAAGGAGCATGATGCACATAAGATTTAAAAAAATCAGAGTCCTGGTGCCCTGGCATCTTTATTATTGCAAAAAATCCTCATCATCTCTTAAAAAAGAAAAAAAAAAGAAAAAAAGAAAAAAAACCTAGACGTTAATCTGGTAGTGAAATCAATCCTCTGAACAATCCCCTAAATCTGACATCTTTCCTTTTTCTGAAGTAAGGTTTCTTATTTGGATCTCTCATGAGTAAACTAACAGATGCTGGTAGCACCTATACTTTAACTGTTCTGCCTGCTTTGTTGCCTTAGTCCTCTCCTCCTGTCCCCTAGTCCTGGGGAGGAGGCAGGTGGTAAAGCTGCACAGCACAGTTAGAACAAGCTATTTCTGAGTGTTCTTGAAAAAAATTAGGGGCCTAACAGAAAAGGTGGCTGGGAATTTAGGGCAGGTGCAGGTCAGAAAGAGGACTACCCTGCCAAATGTGGGGGTTTGGAGTCCAGCTTCTTGTGTTCCTTGGTGGGTCCAGCCCTTAAAGCAGTCTGTTTCCTCACAGAAACGTTGTTTTATCCCAAGGTGCACAGCCACGGGAGAGCAGAAGACAAGCAGAAAGAGCAGTATCATGAACATATTAGTGTCAGAGAAGCTCTTTAACGTAAAGGAATGTATCTGAAATGAAAAAAAAGAAGATAACAGGTTCTAATTTTCACCTTCTTTCATAAACTGTGAGTTTCTTATTCATCCTGTTTATCCAAACTGGTGATTGTCTTTCCTACATTCAGAAGTCTTTCTCAAAGAGATGTGAGTTTACACCCTTTAAAGGCGGTAGTCGTACTGAATTTTCCTTTAAACATTGAACTAAAATGTTTACCTTTTTGACCCAGCATAAAAGATTAATTTTATTTTTATGGAAAAGGTTTTACTTTTCTTTAATCTCAGATTTTCATTTTCCAGTCACACAGAAGCTAGTTACCCTAGAATACCCTTAAAGGTGTTCAAGACTCGTTTTTTTAATGACAATATGTTTTACTATATTTCTTTCATTTCATCAAAGTTTCTAAGACCTTAAAACAATCACAGAGTTATTTTGCAGCTTAGATAGTATGTTGAGCTGGTTACTTTCCATAGTTGTGTCATTTTGCTTCCTTGATTTTTTTCCTCTCTCTTAAGTATTTGATCGAGTGGTACAGCATGAAATAGCACAGTAATTGTTCAAAATAAAATTTCCAAATTATAGTTGATGAAGTTTATTCAAAAGAAATGAAAAAATTTCCAAAAGGATAGGACAAATCTGTGGTAAATATTGAAACTAAACAGCAATAAACAATAGTCTGTACTATTTTACACTAGAAAGTCTACTTATATAATCCAAACAGCAAAGAAACTCTTGCTGGGTGCCATTCTGACAGATTTATAAAATATTTAAAGAGTTTTAATATTGCATTTCAAATTGAACTTTTGGAAGTTTCTCTTGTGTGTAGCTTACTAGTTTTTAAACCAATGAGAATATCGATACATTTTGGGTTGTTTTGGTTTTGGTTTTAAATTGTATAAGTCTCTTGTTCAGCTGCTGTTCACTGATATTACTATGGTACAAAAATGAGGCTGTTGTTTTGGGTCTGTTTTTTTGAAAAAAAAATAATATATTGTTCTTATTATGCTATGTGTGATGTGATTTTCACTGTGGATTATCCTGTTAGAAGTAATATGTCTGCAGAATTTGAATTAAAACAGATTAAATACCTGCAAAGGTGCGCACTACAGATTTTGTTTTCTTCCTGAAATCTCAAAAATAAGCAATTGTTTTGAAAAGACAAGCTAAAAGTACCAAGAGGGAAAAATAAGGGCATTACCAGAAATAATCAAAACAGTCTGGTATTCCAGGTACTTAACTTCAACCTCTCTCCCTTTTTTTTTTTACCCTCAGTAAAGTAGGAATGTATTTTGATTGTCTCTATAACCAGTGAAACAATACCATCTTCTCAGCTTATGGATATTTCTGTGTCAGGATTCCAACTGAGAACCTCTGTGTAATCAAATCCATTGCATTATCATTTTGGCATTTTAATATCAATGGGATCATAAGAAATGACCCAATGCTAAAAGGTTTTATTTGTAAAGCTGTGTACAACTTAGAATTATCTGCTATGACATTTGATAACTCAGGAAATAAACCAACTTATTAGTAGTACAGTTTTGTGTATCCTCATCAACTTCACATGCAATCATTTATATATCTTAAAACCTTCAGTAAGTGAAATTAAAAAACAAAAAACATCCCTTGCAATGTGTCCTTGTTCGAGAGTACACAAAACCAAAATAAGGTGTTTTCTAATGGCATATGAAATTGTAAACAATGTAAGTCTTCAGTGATAAGTTGAAAGGACACTTTAGTTTAGGATTTTAGGTTTTTAGCTGAATGACGCTATTATTGCTCAAATAGCGAAGAGAAACCTTGTGTCCATGTTATTCTCAGAAGAACCTAGACTCCTATTTTGCTGTGCATGTGAAGAAAGCTTTCCATCGGAGAAGGCAACGCAAAATGTGCTTTTCTCTGTCAGCTTCCTTTCTAGCCATCTGAGTAGAAATGGTATCTGATTTGTAGGCAGACTTATGATGCCTCCACCACTAGCCCCTTTCAAAAAAAAATTAAAAAACAAACAAACAAACAAAACCACACCATATCCAGCAACACTTTTAAGTACATTTCAAGAGAAAAGGGGAATCAAGCATAGGTGGGCCAGGGACACAGTTTGTAGTATGCAGACATATATGATTATCAGCCATCCTGGTAACATCTTCATTTACTGGGATCCTGTCCTCAGTAATTCAGCAGATTTGTAAAAGGCCAAAAGATGTGTAGATCCTAATTCTCAGGTCTGCCTTCTAGTTCTGTTTCTTTAAGGATTAAATTTTGTTTGTCTGTTTGTTCAATTTCTGTGTGATTTCTTCTGTATTTTTCAGCAGAATATATACATATGCACACATACAACTACATATGTATGTGTATTGTTTTGTAAATGTTCTCAGTCATGCTTTTTTCTGCTTTGCATCATTTATTCATATACCTTCCATGTTCTCATTTATTTTTTGTGCAACTAAACCTTATAATAAATTATTAAATATAGCCTAACAGTGACAGAGTCTTCATGTTTTATTTTCTTCTGGGCATGAGGGGAGATGTGGATGGGACTGAGGGAGGGAGAGACGAAAGCAGGGGCTACACTTCTATTCCATCCCCAAATAGAAAACACTGAAATAACTGTGATGAGTGGCAAGAAGTCTGTAAAACCACACAGCTGTCAGATACCAAGCTTCTGTGCATACTTTTAAATCTAGGTTCAAGGAGCTCTAATATATTTGCTTTTGTCAGTTGAATAGTACTGTTTTCCCAGCAGCAAAATAACACCTTCTGTGTGGAAAATCATGGGTATTTATTATTCTATAGAGTTCTCAATTTGATATGCAAGAATCATGGACATAGACAACATCAAGCACATTTTCTTTCTCACCCTGTCACATAAGCTCCTCATACACATAGAACTCTCAGACTGAATTAACTTTATGTAAACATATGCAGCTCCACTCTGCACATCAGAGCTGTTCTAAAATTGATACTTAAGAGTTCACCTACTGCGTAAAAATGTTTAAATTGTAGAAGTGCAAATAATCTCTAATTCTGCATATGAATCAAAGGATACATTAATGCTGCAGGCTGCAATACAACACTGACACATCTGGAATAGCCTGGTCCAGATGGACTGGACAGCCAAAGCAGCCCAGGCAGTGTTCAGCACAGTCAGTTTGACCTTCCACATCTTGCTGGTGCAAAGAAAATAAAGTCTTTGCTGCAAATAAAAAGTTTGTGCTTTGATTACTTCATTCTTAAGAAAGAACCTAATGGTCTTTTCTTATGTTTGTGTGAGGCATTTCTGTAGTTGACTTAAATCTCTGTCTACCCGAGTGATGATTCTTCTCCTCTTCTTTCTGTCCTACTATGCATGCCATGAAAATTGGATCTCCTATAACTGTTAGCAGGCTAGAAGAACTTTAAAAAGAAAAAAAAAAGGTTGAAGTACTTTTCTCAACCATCAATAATTTATTTTTTTGTCTTCTTGTTTTCTGTGAATAGACTTCAGATTCAAGTCATATGAAAAAAAGAAGTTACAATTTGAATATATTTCCCATTTGTCCCGCATCAGGTCCCTGGTAAAGCACCAGTGAAATGCTCCCTTCCCCAAGCATCCACACTTCAGGTACCAACGCAGTCACTCCTACATCAGTCTTATGACAACCTAATGTGAGAGTGCCTGGGTGAACTGACATGACAGGAAAGGTGGTTTCTAAAACACTTTGATTGCTGAATGAAAAGCTTCATCCTGGTAAAACAGTGACCCAGCAGTTAGAATGAGAAAAATAGGTTTTATAAGGACATATTGGCAGTGGAGCTTACCACCAGCTCATACAGGAGTGAGATCTGAGAGAAAATAGGTGGAAAGCCAGTCTCATATACACTGTGAGAATAGCATCATTTCCATAAACAGAACATAACTTCATACCCCAACTTAGGGCATGGAAAGGACAAGGCAGAAGCAGTGAAATGGACTCCTATCTCTCCTCTTTTAAATTTCAGGGTTTTAATGGGGTTATTAAGGGGGAAAGAAAAGACTCAGAGTTCCAAAGCATTGATTGTTACAACACAAAAAGAAAGGAGAAGCACTGAAACAGCTGTCCCAAAGAATTATGTTGAAGCTGAACTGGAAGAAATAGATAAGACAAAGGGTATCATAGCATACAATTTTTTGCTTCAGTTTTACAAGTAGTGACTTGAGGACAGAAGACATTAATAATACACAAATAATAGAAAAACTATCAAATCAAAAGGGGTAATTTGTTAATAACACGGAACAGAGTAGAATCTCTAAATGTACCTGTAAAGCATTGAAAAGTATTCATCAAAAATAATGAATAGCAGTAATCATACTTTGAAATCTTCAATTTTTCCTATTTATATATTTTAAGATTACTATAAGATTCAGGGGATATAAAGAACAAATACAGAAGAGAAAGGTCTTAATAAATATACAGTATGAAACATGAGTAACTCCATCTCAACAGGTGACCTTACCCAGGTCTGAATAGAGTACAAAATTTTTGATAAGGCCTCTATGATCCTCTTCCTCTTCTTTCTGAAGATATACACTTAGTCAGAAACTCCCTCAGAAATCAATAAATACCATAAAAATCCAGGTGGACTAGCAAACTGTAACATGCTAGTTACAGTTACAGATTAACACTGTTTCATAAAAGCCTGGACTCAGCTGAAAAGGCCCTTTGATTCAGGGGGAAATACAATAATATGTTGCCCAAAAGTTCCAGCGGCCTCATATGTTGTGGCAGGGGAAGGAATAGATTTTCTGCTCACTATTTCTTTTCATTGGAAGCAGAGAGATTCTGGATCAGACCACTAGCAATATTTGGCAAGGAATACACCAAACTTAGATAATGGTTAAAACTATTAGTTTGGATCCATCTGTGAGTATGTTAGAAGATCTAGAAAACCTCAAGATGTCACCTGGCCTCCTCTGTGCACAAAATAGGAATAACCTATGCCTAGTTCAATATTATTCCTGACAAATCACCCTTAACATGTTGTTTCAGCTAATATCACAGGAAGCATTTAGCTGACTAAGAAACTTGAGTAAGCCATTTGTTTTTCTAAGATGAAAAAAGGGAAAAAAAAACCCAAAGATAAAATGTCACTTTTTTCATAGGCTGTAGAACTGATTAATTTTTTCAAGGTTAAAATTTAGATGATAAAATTTTATTTTCACATATACCTTTTTTTAGTTGGTTCTGAATAGGATAGTAAGGATGAGCTGTTGACACAATCATACTTACCTGCTTCAGTATATTATGCAAATTGATTTGTTACTCACTTTTTGCAAAAAACAGTGATGATGCAGATCAATAGGAAAACTAACAGCAAAACAGCAGGAGAAATTCCTCCAGCTATTTAGGTAATAAACCATTTGTGATCCCAAGTTGCTAAAATATGATTGTAATAAATACGATTAGTATTTTGTATAAATATAGATCAGTATGAACTTTTTATGACAAACTAAATTGAAAAGTCAATGATTATATAAAGAGATCATTCCATGACAGCTCATGCTCAATATTCCGACTTCACAATTTTCTCATTTCTAAAACACTTTTGTTACGCTGAACTAGCTCTTAGGAAAGGTGTGACTGGTATGACCAAAGGTGAGTGAACACAGCACAGTGGTATGGAAAAAATAGCAATGCCTTGTATAATCCTTTTTTATCTTCTTCCCTCCCCTGGTGAGAAAGCAGTTCATACATAAGTGACTCAATATATGGTTAATAAAAGCTCTCAGGCTACTTAAGTGAATGTTCTTGGCTGGAAACAAAAAGCTGGGAGGAGTAGCTGATACCCCAGAGTCTCATGCAGCCCTTCAGCAGGACCTCGATAGGTTGGAGATATGGGCAGAGAAGAACTGTCTGAAATTCAAGAAAGGTGAATGAGGGGTCCTGTACTTGGGGAAGAATAACTCCATGCACCAGTACAGGCTGGGGGTCAACGTGATGAAAAGCAGCTCTGTGGAGAAGAATGTGGGGGCTCCTCGTGAACAACAAACTGTCCATGAGTCAGCATGCACCCCTTTGACCAAGAAGGTCAATGAAATCCTGGGAAGCATTAGGAAGAGTACTGCCAGCAGGTCAAGGGAGGTAATCATGCCCCTCTACTCAGTCCTGGTGAGGCCACATATGAAGTACTGTGTCCAGCTCTGGATTCCTGAGAGAGATATGGAACTCCTCAAGCAGGTTCAGCAGAGGGCTTCAAAGTTCACATAATCACAGAATGTGCTGAGCTGGAAGGGACCAACAAGGATCATCAAGCCCAAACCTTAGCCCTGCACAGGACCATCCCCAAGAGTAACACCATGTCCCTGAGAGCATTGTCCAAACGCTTCTTGAACTCTGTCAGGCTTGGTGCTGTGACCACTTCCTTGGGGAGCCTGCTCCAGTGCCCAGCCACCCTGTGGGTGAAGAACCTTTTTCTAATACCCAACCTAAACCTCCCCTGACACAACTTCAGGCCATTCCCTTGGGTCCTGTCACTGGTCACCACAAATAAGAGATCAGTGCCCACCCCTCCCCTTCCCCTCAGGAGGAAGTTGTAACTGCAATGAGGTCTCCCCTCAGTCTCTTCTTCCGGCAGAACACGCTAAGTGACCTCAGCCACTCCTCATACAGCTTCCCCTCAAGGCCCTTCGCCATCTCTGTTGCCCTGATGGCTTAATATCTTTCTTATATTGTGATGCCCAAAACTGCACACAGTATTCAAGGTGAGGTCACCCCAGTGGAGAGCAGAGTGGGACAATCCCCTCCCTTGACTGGCTGGTGATGCTTTGCCTGATGCCCCCAGGACACAGTTGGCCCTCCTGGCTGCCAGGGCACTGCTGACTCATATTCAACTTGCCATTGACCAGGACCCCCAGGTCCCTTTCTGTGGCACTGCTTTCCAGCATCTCATTCCTCAGTCTGTACAAACATCCAGGGTTACCCCATCCCAGGTGCAGTATTTGGCACTTCCCCTTGTTGAACTTCACGTGGTTGATGACTGCCCAGTCCTCTGATTTGTTGAGGTCTCTCTGCAGGGTCTCCCTGCCTTCAAGGGAGTCAACAGCTCCTCCCAGTTTTGTGTCGTCTGCAAACTTACTTAGTATCCCTTAGAGTCCTGTGTCCAAGTCATTTATGAAGATGTCGAAGAGCACAGGGCCCAAGATGGAGCCCTGTGGAACCCCACTAGTGACTGATCACCAGTCTGATGTTACCCCATTCACTATCACCCTCTGCGCTTGAGCCATGAGCCAATTGCTCACCTACCACATAATGTATTTATCCAGTTGTCTGCTGGACATTTTTCCAGAAGGATATGGTGGTGAGAGACAGTGTTGAAAGCTTTACTGAAATCCAAAAAGATTACATCAGCTGGATTCCCTTGATCAGCTAGGTGGCTTGCCTTATCATGAAAGGAAATCAGGTTTTACAAGCAGGACTTTCCTGAAGCTGTGTTGGCTGTGACCAGTGACAGAGTTGTCTTTTAGGTGTTTTTCAATACTTCACAGAATTCTCAAATGAAACTAAGGAGCAACACATAATAACTAAATGGTAGAGACAAACAAAACAATAGCTTCAAGGTGTAAGCCAATATATTCTTATAGTGCTCAAGTCTGTGGAAAGGTAATACTCATTTTTGAGGTAAAAAACTGGAGGAAAGAACAGAGGTGATATTATCAAAGTCATGCAGGTAACCCACAACTCAAATCCTCAGCAATCCATTGGTGAACAGGGACTAAAAAACTGTCTTCAGGTGTAGTTCCTCTTTAATATTCTTCTCACTGTACAGAGGTGAAACCACAGCTGCCCCAAGGTACTTTCAGTTCTGGGTAGACAAGAAAGTTATGTGCTTAGTTCACAGGCAAAGGAAAATAATCAGTACCACTAATGACAATAATCCCAGCTAACCAACTGCTGAGCCATCACCAGATGGCTTTTCTCTCCTGCATCAAAAACGTTCACAGCTTCTTATCTGGCTATCCTGAATACCAGATGAGGCTTGCTAACATACTCCTTTTTACTATTAATGCCCTCACTGGAAGGGATAACGAAAAATATTGATTACGGAAGAGCCTTATCCTTGAATCCCAGTGTTATTTTACTGGAAAGAAAAAAGAAAGAAAATTCTCTCAGAAGTATACATGTTGTAGGTATGTGACACTTCAGAGAAGGTTGTCTGATAACAAAAACCAGTATCTTTTGTGTTATAACCACATATGAAATCACTCTACTTCCAGAATGTTTTCAGCTCCAGTGTACTTAAAATGACAGGATAGTGCATATAGTTATGTCCAAATTATAATGTCTTTTTTCCCAGATTTTATGCCACCCACCATAGAAAATCATTATCTGTGCCTGTGAATACTTACAGAAATATGAAATATAAGCAACAAAGGAAATTTTTTAAGTCTTGTATTTAATTGTCATCAAGGATGGGTGAATCTAGATAGAGTTGCAGAGTTCAGAAATATCCCCATCCTTCAGTTTAACTGCTTTAGACTTCATTACTCTTTTTTGGAAGTTTCACATTCAGTTTTATCAGGTCAAGATAATAATCCCTCAATTAATGAGTTTGAGAGCTGAGATTATCATCTGTCAGTTAAATTCGGATGAGAAAAATTAATAGATTTTTTTTTTTTAACTAACGACAACTCAAAACCCTTATGCTTTTCTCACTTAAAGTGAGCAAAACCTTCCTTAGGCATTTGTTTTCTTTAACTATACAAAACCTTTTGTGATTACTGACTTTAACATCCCAGTCAAGCTTTTGCAGAAACATGTCAGATGCATGTCATGTGTCTCTTTAGTTCTTATGTTCTCAACAAAGGTGATATACTGACAGGAGGTTATTAACTATATTTCCAGCATCAGTACAATTTCTGTTAAGTATTGGACAACCCATCATAGCCTTGGTATCTTCTCTGCAAGTGTGCAAAAATTTTTTGTAGGAAGGTTTTCAACCTTCAGTGCTCCAACTTTGGTTTAGAGGAGGGAGCACTGATGAGTCATACAGTTATTTGTTTTAACAGGAGATTTGAACTTCACTGTCAAGACCTTCATGTATTTTGTCACATGCATTGCTGGATTGGCACATATGGTGTGCTAACTAGACATCACTGAAATAGTTTTCCACACAACTGAAAGGCAGAAATCCAGCACAAATGCATTCATGCCTAGAGAACAGTGGTTTGTTGAGTAGAGACCCACAGACATGGTTTGATATCTAGTGTTTGTACTGAATGATTGCATGAAGGAAGACAGAAGCTAATTCATTCCTATCCTGGTTCTGCTCACCCCCTTACTGCAGTCTTACCTTCTGGTTGTTTCCTATGGCCCAGAGCTCCTCCCAGCTCACAAGGGCTATATGATAACCCCCAATGACTGGACAAATAGTCCCTGCTTTTCATCTGGATGCTATGAAGATCCTATTGGGTGCAAGTGAAAGACATTTAAGGGCACAGTCAACATGCATTCACAAAGGGAAAGTCCTGTTTAACTAATTTGATATCCCTCTGCAATAAGGTCACCCATCTAGTGAGTGAAAGAAACAAATCCATCCTGTCTCTACATCTGGGATGGAATAATTCTGGACACAAGTATAAACTGGGAGAGAAGCAGCTAGAAAGAAACCCTTCAGAAAGGGATGTAGGGGTGCTGGTCAGCAGCAGGCTCAGTGTGAGTGATCAGTGTCCACAGGGCAAATCACATCCTGGGGTGCATCAAACTCAGCAACACCAACCGATTAAAGGGGGTGATTATCCCACTGCAATCAGTGTAGGTGAAACCTCACTCTGAGTCCTATGTGCACTTCTTAGTCCCACAAATTTAGAAGGACGTGAAGGTACTTGAATGTGTGTAGAGGAAGGCAAAAATGCTGGTAAAAGGGCTAGTACAAATGTAATTCTGACCCCCTAAACATACATGTAAATACAACTGCCAACCACCTTTTCAGATCTAGTGGGAACACACAGAAACATGTTTCTATTTTATTTTTTCCAAGAGAGCTTGTTATCCCATTTTCTGCTAAGGCAAGAAAAAAACTTATTAAATCTTCCTAAAAATGTCTAGGTCTTCAGGATGTTTAGATCTTTCAACCCTGCTAAATTTTCAGTCCTTTCATATGACATCTCCCCTTCTTTCTGAATCATCTACCAAAACTGTATGAATTATAAGTGTGCTTCCTCTCTTCAAATACTGTCTCAAAGAAAAAAGTATGGTAAGAAAAAAACCAGAAACAGGTTCAGATGTGAAATCTGGTGTCATGAACAATCTCTCTATTGATAGAATTTTTAGAAGAGATACGGTGAAGAACACATCAGAAATGAATCCCAGGTCTCTTGAACACATTGTATAATTATGTAATACTCAGCTTTCTGTTTCTGTAAGAGTTGTCCAACAAAACCTACACTTTTTTACACACACATTGCCTTATATGTTCCAGATTTTGAGGTCAAAAAATATTTGCAGATGTCCAATTTCAGTTGGAAATTCCTGTTTCTGAAAAACAAATCACAACATTTAGTGGGCTGGAATCAATAAACTTAGTGATAATTAATTGATGTCATGGTTTCATTTTCACTAATGTTCAAAAATATTAAGTGCATGCTGACTTCTGTTGATACAACTGCAAGAAGTGCTTTCACAATGCTTGAATACCTATTCCTTCCTCTCTCCCTTTTTTCTTCACAGGCATTCCATGCTGTTTTTCTTTGCAAAAATATATTAACCTTTAGATAAGAAGAAAACTGCATCTTTCTACTGTACCACCTCTTGGAATCAGCAGTTTTTGAATTGTTATCAGTTCTGCAAGTAATCCTGTGCTCTTAATACTGCTTTTCACCCAAGATTCCTCTTCTTCAAAAGTTCTTGAGGTCTTTTCAAAAACAGCTTCAAAAAAAAAAAAAAAAAGAAGAAAGAAAGGGTTCTTATCTTTTATCTTACCATCTCTCAACCTAAACAGAGTTTTCTATATTACTGTTTACAGTGCAGTTCTCCTCTCACCACCTAGACTCAGTATTTCAAAAAAACTCTGGCTTTTCCCATGCAGAAACACACCAACAGACTTAAGCGTTGGAAGAGCTTGGTAGCAAATCCAAGCTACAGTGTGGCTCAACTGTAATGCTAAGCCAAAGAAAATTACATGACTGAACTGGTAGAAAATACATAATAAAAATAGTGTGTCAGGTTCCTGGCACCACTTGGTTTACTCAAGCCAGAACTGTTGGATCAAGAAGAGTAAGTCACTCATGAGCCTGTGAGAGACTTCACTAGCTGTGTCACCAGGTGAGATGGAAGCTAAAGTAAACAGAAAATATTTCTATTGCTCTACAGTTAGGATATGTTTGATTCTATCAATTCAGGCAACATTTTGACATTCCAATATTTAAAATTGTCAGAGGTGAGAGGACATTTTGTCCTGTTTTCTCTATTCTTCTCTATTCTCTTAGTTCCTCTGTTCTCACATTCTGCTCACTTTCATGGATTTTTGTGGTCAAGTATTCAGAGTAAAACAGGTCATCATGTTTTTTTCCAAGTACAACCTTCACTTCTCAATTAACCTAATCACGGATTAAATATATTCTGCAGTTTTACACCCTATGCCACAGTATTGTCAAAGAGATGTCTACTAACACTCATGTGTTACCAGGAACAAAAGCAGAAAAATGAAAGCTGAACTGAATGCAGCAACAGAAGAAGGAATGGGGTGGTACAAGAATCATGTCTTCAAAACATGTTCTATAGAGAAGAAGTAAAACCAAGTCTTTTTCTTTTTTTTTTTTTTTTTTTTTTTTGAGTCATAACAGAAAGTAAACATAAAGGTAGGATTCAACACACAGTTTGAGAAATCTTGGGTCTGTGTGTGGGGACATGTAGCTGCCATTATAAGCTAACTGTGACAATAGTTACAGCAAAACCTAGAAAGCTGAGAGAGCTCCATGAGGAAACTCCCTACCTGAATAAAGTAGAGGTCAGTTTACAAAATTCTACATTTTCAACTGTGAGTGTGCTCTTTGCCTTCACTGAAGGACAGGTCTCATCCTCAGGGCCCTGCAGTACACTGTACTAATGGGGAATTTCCCTCGTGCCTTCTTTGGTAGAATGCCCAACTCTCCCTGCAAACTAAGGCAATCTTTCCCCTTCCAAAGCATCTCTTTCTTCTAAGTCATATGAGGAGTGGCTGAAGGAGATGGGCTTCTTTAGCATGGAGGAAAGGAGGGTCAGGGGAGACCTTTTCACTCTCTACAACTACCTGAAAAGGTGGGGACCAGCCTCTTCTCCCAGGCAGCTAGCAATAGGTCAAGAGGCTCCCTCAAGCTTCAGCAGGGGAGTTTCAAGTTGGACATCAGAATTTCTTCACTGAAAGGGTGGTCAGGCATTGCAACAGGCTTCCCAGGCAGGTAATGGAGTCACCATCCTTAGAAGTGTTCAAGAAACAACTGGACATGGCACTTAGTGTTATGGTTTGGTTGACATGATGGTGTTTGGTCAAAGGTTGGACTTGATGATCTTGGAGGTCTTTTACAACCTTAATGATTCTATGATTCTATTCTATTCTATTCTATTCTGTGATTCTTAACATCAAAACAGTTGCTCACAAACAGTTCTACACTCCTATAATGAGATCAGACGAGCTTAAAGCCAGCTTGCTTCTGTGGAAATGAGATTGTTAACTTTGCTGTCTTTTACATCCTGCTAATTGGAACACAGTACTTAAATAAATCCTCACTTGTTACTGAAGAGTTATTTTGTATGGGTAAAAGTGCTAATGTGTCAGAAGGTCCTGTTTTGAAAACATTTAACTCTTCTTCCTTTACTTACCAGACACAGTAGAACTCATCACATAGGTTTCATTTCTTCCAGCAGCTACACAGCAGTACATTGCAAAGTCAGAGGCTGCAATGTTTCGAAAGAAAATCCTGGAGTTTGCCTGATGAGAACAATCCACCGGTGTATGCTCTTTGAAATCTGAAACAAAGCTTTGCTTTCCTGAAGAGTTGCACAGAATGACAATATCTACTCAATTTGCTTTAATCCTTTCCAACGTTGCTTGCTGCACCGAATCTCCAATTTTATAAAGGCAAGAAAAAATAACATTTCCTCCTGCTTTGGTAAACATGGTATTATTTTGTTTCTCAGACACTTCAAAAGCATCTGTTGAAAAACACAAAACTCAACAAAAACCTGCTTATAACTGACTCAAGGGAAATGTAATATCAGCAATTCCTATATGGCAAATATTAATGAAATTGACTTACAGCAGAAAGATATTCAAATAATTTGAAATGCTGAAAAATATCGTTTATACCCATCTATGACTATATTTTTGTGCACATTTAGATAAAACTGTTTATAGAACTGTGGGGCTGTGATGACACTGCAAGAAAGCTATTTCTATGCATTTCGAGTACATGAATGTCCTGTTAACAATTTCAGAATTTCAGCAGCATAAATTATGGGCCAGTCTAATTAAATTTGTGATAGTCTTGTTCTACTTTCACACTAGTTATCATAAGAAAGTGGTTTGATGTGACCCTCAGGACATGCATTAGTAAATTATGTTAAAAGTCATTCCAGCCTATGAACTGCAATTCCCCCATTCACAAACCTTACGTCTTCAATAAAAAAAATTTTATCTCTTCAAATGCTCTACTTGTGAAAAACCGCTGTGATTGTCTGTGGTATGAAAGACTTCCAGACAAATTCAAGACTTCAATCACGTAAAAACCATAGATACATTATATCTCAAACAATTTTGACTGAAATCCCCTTGCTCTGTTATTGTTTTAGTAATATAATTCACTGATTACAGATTAAGAAAATAAATTTTTAAAAGTCTTCAATTGAAAGATTGTCAATTTCTCTGATATTCAGAGCCACTTGATTTCTAACAACTTTGTAATGCCTTTGTCTTGTAAGTTAGGACTAGCACTGTCATCTTTCTGAAGAATTTAATGTTGGAAAAGATTAATGATCAGACTGTTTATCCTACATTGTAAAATCATTAATCTTTCAGGTTCTTCAGTGAGATCCTTATTTTTATTAGATGTTTTTAAGCAAAAGAAGTTACTGCTGTATATTTTTAATGTGTTTGCCTCTATCTGTGGCAACAACTGGAAAGTAAATATCTGACCTAGGAAGAAATTATTCCATTAATGTTGACAGGATAGAGTCCCTTGTGGGAACCTGTAACTTCAGAGACTTGTTCAGTCTCTGTGAAAGAGTGAATGGAAAAGTCTAACCTGAAACTTTTTATCAGTGGAACACAGCACAGTAAAATTACATTCTCTCTGCCTTTGGAGACCAGAAACATGATTAAAACATTGAAATATTGAAAGACAAAAGGAACTGTGTCTAATGAGTTTACCTAAAAGAAAATTATTAAGAACTTAAAGATCCATGTAGACTGCAATCAAAGAGACTGAAAGTTAATGACAGACAAGGACAGAAGAGAAATAAATTCACTAAATTAAACAGAAGGTACAATACAGTGAAGCTAATTGATTCCTTGGACAGCTTGCCAAAGACAGCTAAATTTCTATTACTGAAGTTGACTGCCAAAGCTGGATAATCATTTAAGTTATCATGCTAGTTCCAGCAAAAATTTTTATTCATGGAAGTCTAAGTGTTATTTAAATTAGACTAAATGACTGCTATGATGGGACTCTACACTTGCAAAATATGTTTGTTGAAGTGCAGTCCCTCAAAATTCACTGCATTAAAACAGGTAATTTTTTTATACCTAGCAGATGCAGACCTGTAGATTCATTCAGATCTGCTAGGGAAGTAAATGAAAAAGTCATTGAAATCAATCCTCTCTCTGATTTGTCATATTCTTTGAGGTCAGATCCTTTCCTCAGACCTCTAAATTCCAGCAACTGCCTGCTTTACAGTAAACTGCATATTCCTTCCAGAGAAGTCTTCCCCTTCTTCATTGTGCAGTCTTTGCTGGCATCTTCCACTATGAGCAAGCCCTACTGCTGTCCACATTCTCCTCAGAAGCCTTGAGGTCTCCCCGTCTTCTCCTGGGTGCATCCTTCTGGTCCTGTTTGTTTCATAGCAATGCCACCCTGAACTCCAGGTATGTCAACATGCTTAATAGGGAAATTATGTGTATGATGATGCTGCCTCCCACCTTCCGGAGGATTCCCATCTGACCCAAATGACAGCTAGCCAGGACCTTGTAACAACCAGACTTCTTCTCTGCTGCTGTGCTGTATATTTTCTAGAAAAATGTACATTACACATGTGGTCAAGTGGGAACAAAAAGAAAAAATATTTTCTACCAGAATTATTAAAATTCCCACTGTCTTAAAATTTATTAGTTGACTGTTGTGTTATATTTGCCAAACAACATATCCCAGTTTCTCAATAATACATGATATTACAACATTGTGATGTACTTTAATAGGTACCTTGCAAAGTTAAGGTTGCCTTTCAAATTCGGTGGAGACTTTCCAGATATGAATCTTGATATAATTGTATGACCTGCTGGTATTCAAATAATAAATGTTATGTTAATAGTGAGAAATGTGCACAAACACCCAAATTAAAATAGAAACAGTTTGGAGATTCTTGGCTGTTCTATATTCTATCATAACTATTTTCAAGCACAGATATTATGACTTCTTCTTTTGGTATATGTATTTTATCTGAAACTATGCAGCAACATTAAGATATTTTCACTCTTGATGAACAATGTAAATGCTTCCCCTTCTTACAATATGGTGCATTGAACAATTTATATGATTATGTAAGGTACAAACAATGGAGAATCAGGCCTACATCTTTCTAATTAGATCTTCTAAGGACACCAAAATATTCCAGGCTTTTGTTTTAAGCAATTGTCCCATTTTATTTCGATACCAGCATCAGCAGAGTTCTTTCATCCTCCTTCTCCTCTGTTCAACCACTCACTTTATTTAACACCTTTCTAAACAGTTTCTTTGCTTTCAGTCGGGTACACGTGGGATGCAAACCTCCCGCTCTGAGAAACATTTCCACAGGAAAAAAGCACACCCACACACCTTCACCCCTACACATGCACAACCCAAGGTGACACGCCATGCGTGAACATTTCAGAAATGCAAAATAAAAATTTATCATTACATCTGATAAAAATAGGCTTCGCCTGCCTGCCGCTTACTCCAGACACTGCCACTGCTGCCCATGGTCATGTCATCCTGCTTCCTGAATAGAAAGTAGGAGGAGGTAAGAGCACTCACAGTCCATGGGCCTCTGCTTAGTAAGGAAGTGCTCTATGCTTGTTATCCTCCATGCACCTGTTTCAGCAGGATGTTATCTCGTATTTTGCAGTTGTATCTATTTTTATCTGCTATTATTTAAAGGGGAAAAATGCAAGCTTTCATATTTTTAAGATACATAATCTTCTAATATTTTTCTTGGAAAGCAAATCTCAGAAATATAGAGGTATAAAAGAGTTTAGACCAACCCTACAGGATTTAAAGGATCAAACAACTAAACTAAAATTCTGCAGCAGAGAAATAGTTGAAGTTGAGAAAATCTTTCGGAGAAATAATAAAATAATGGTGTGATTTCCTCCCTGTTCCCTGCACTTGCTACAAGGACTTAAAGTCAAGACAAATCTCATGTAAAATTTTGATCCCAATTCTTTTTGGTACCGATTTTCAGCCTTTCTCCTTTTTTCCTTCATATATCATCTACTTATTTTTTTATTTTATTTAGTTTGTGTTTTGGAGGTTTTTTTGTTCTTTTACTATCTGATAAGATTAGCTGATTTTGTTTCTTCAGAAGGAAGTTGCTTAGATACCTTTACTTGTATTCAGGTATTCATTTTTAAATTCAGTATCTATGATGTTTTAGTTCCTGTTCACTGTAATTTTCACCAGTCCCACACATATAATTTTCCACAAAGTTCCAGAGTTGCACTCTGGATCTGGATTGCACATCAGTCTCATGCACTCCTCCTGGTTTAAAATCATATACAAAGAAAACAAGATTCAAACTTCAACATCAGCTCTGCAAGTCCAGAAAGGCAAAATTCAGTAAAATCAAGAAACAGTAAAATAAAATGTATTGAGATACTCCCCCGTCTTAACACATTTCTGTATCTCTGCAGAGGCTTAAAGCGTAGGTCAAGTACTACCAGACCTGGTTTTATACCAAGACAGTTGCACCAGTTGATGGAGGCAAGTGAACACAGAACCGAGCAACAAATGAAGGGAATCGTATCCTATCCTAAGTCAGACCAGCACACAGACATTTTCGATGTGCTTGCATTTATCAAAAGGTCAGGACAAGCTCATAGTTCTCAGACTGATGGTAACAGAGCTGCCTTCAAAGCAGTTCCCCTTAGGAAGTAATGTTCTCCTTCAGAAATAACTAATGATCTTAGCAGAGTTATCAAAACTGCAAAGCTATCTTAACTCTACAGCAGAGACAGGTTCCCAGGTCCCACTTGATTTGCTGAAGCTCCACATACAAACACAACTTTCTTCATCTACCTGAAATAAGCAGTGACGAAAAAACAATTGCAGATGAAAAGGAGGCTTAAAATTTTATGAAGATGAACTTTCTCTGGGGCTCTTCTTTTCACCAAGAAAATCAGCTTTCAGGAGAGAAAATATTTTGAGTGAACCCTTCACCTTTACTGAATAGACTAAATAAGTCATTACATTTGGCTCCTAAACTGTCTTCCAACTGTATTAGCACATACTACATGATTTTGTTGAGTTTCTATAAACACAGTTTTGCCCTTTTTTGGATGACACAGAGTAACATTGAAGCTTAACTATTAAATAAGTTGAAACAGTAAAGGTCTCCATTGTAATGAGCTCCTGACACCAGTTCTACCATCAGACCAGAAACCAGTGTTGTGTTTGAAAAGAATGCATTCTCCTAATAACAACTAATTGGATCATAAAAATTAAAATGAAAATACTTATACTCCCATACCCTCAAAATATCCCTTTAAATATATATTAAATTTTATTGTTAAAAACTTGGTGAATCTTTCCATACACATTATTAATTCTGCATAATATTCTGACCACTTAACATACAATTTTAATTCACCTGCCAGTTCCAGGTTGTTTGCAAATATTCCATTACTCTTTGTTGCTATTTTACTGGTTTGAGCTGAACTTTATTTGCCTAGAGTGCAAGGAAAGGGA